AGGAGTGACACCTTGTTGTGTCAGGTGTGGCACCTTGTTGTGTCAGGTGTGGCACCTTGTTGTGTCAGGTGTGGTACCATGTTGTGTCAGGTGTGGTACCATGTTGTGTCAGGTGTGGTACCATGTTGTGTCAGGTGTGGCACCTTGTTGTGTCAGGTGTGGTACCATGTTGTGTCAGGTGTAGTACCGTAACAGAAACGTAAAACCATCAGAATGTTTTAAGGTGAAACCTGCAGTTACCATAGTGCCATTAAGCAAGGATGCTGCCTTGTGCCTCCTTTGGGACAAATAAAAAGGCCTCTAATGATAAGAGATCATTCAGCTGATAGACGGGGTTTCCAAAGAATGACTGCAGGGGTCGACCCCCCCCCGCTCTGCGGCTTCCTGCTAATTAAATTCCTCCACTGTCCATTAGACGGATAGAGTGAGCAGACCGCTGACTCAGCACAGGTAGGACAGCTCCTCTCTTCGCTGTAATGGCTCCGCAGCCTGAGCAATTCATTTGGCCGGCCCGGTTTTATACGTCTCTGGGTCACCGCAGGCTTTCAAGGGTGCAGAGAGACTGATGGAGGGGGGGTCAGAAGCTAATATCGTCAAAACGTTTTAATTCTGAAACGAGCAGTCTGCGAGGCTGTGTCCTCTAAAATGTACTGACAGGCTCTTTCTGCACGCGCTCAGTCTGCGTCCGACCAGAACCCTGACACCATCCAACTCCTCCTGCAGGGTTCTGTTTGCCTGAGACTCAGCAGAACCAACAGAGTTAACTTTCAGACTCAGAGAAATTAATTATTCAAGGAGTTCAACCTGCAGCTTTTATTGTAAAACCTTCTTTTCTGCTGAGCTTCATCCATATTTTACAAACATCCTCAGTGACATCATCAGTCACACGCTTCATCACCAGTGACATCATCATCTGTTTTTCTCAACCCCGGACGTCCCTCACAAACTCTACGGGTCTCAGTTAGTCCAGCTTCCTGTGCGTTCTGATTTTACTTTGAAACTCTGTGACTTCCTGTGTGTAGCTGGTGGAGTTCTGTGTTCCACTTAAGATAAGGTAGAACGTTATGGATCCTGCAGGAAATTGTTGTGCCAGAGTTTCAGCACAAAGGAACATGCACAAGAATCACAAGCTATAAAAATAACAGAGGATATAAAAATACCAACAATCAAGGTCTAAAACAGGTGCAGACAGAAACATTAGTGTTTATTGTTGTGCAGGATTAATATATTGTCCTATGTTTCATTTCAATTCAATTCAATTCAGTTCAGTTTATTTCTAAAACTCCAAGTCACAACAGGATCGTCTCAGGGACTGAACAGAAACATTCATCTATAAAATAATAATTTAACAGAAACATTCATCTATAAAATAATAATTTAACAGAAACATTCATCTATAAAATAATAATTGAACAGAAACATTCATCTATAAAATAATAATTGAACAGAAACATTCATGTATAAAATAATAATTTAACAGAAACATTCATCTATAAAATAATAATTGAACATTATTTATGTGAGGAGCAGCTTTGAGTTTAACTCCATCACTGAACTCTCATCTTGAACAAGCATGAAGGCGACAGTGGAAAGAAAAACTCCCTCATGAGGAAGAAACCTTTAGCAGAACCAGGATCAGGACTAGAGGACCATCTGCTTCGACCAGCTGGGTTTGGTAGGAATAGATACACAATGGCAGGTCAAGAATCACATGTTAAGATAGAAATAGTATCAAATGAAAACTATTCAGTTTTAACAATTCGTTTAAGGAAATGAGGTCAGTTTGTCTGGATTTTGTATTTGTCAAGAATCAAACTGGACTTTGGAGGGTTTGTGTCTGTGCTCTCGAGTTTGTTCGGGTCGGTCCCGGCCTGAAACCGTACAGCCAGCACCCCACCAGGGACAGTGGGGGAGGGAGGGGGTGTTGGTCTGTTTGCAGAATGCAGCAGTAAAATGGATAATAAATAATTTTAATGAGGGGGCGGGGCTTAACCTCTGACTTAACACCTGTGGCTCACTCATTGGTGCAACCCCCCCCCCCCCCGACTCCAAACAAAACAACACCTCGTCCTCTTTAACATCTCGATCAGCTCCTCTCGTCTCATCTATGTGGGGGGCCCCCCTTCCCTCCATCAGGAGGTGATACAGCTGCTTCTTCATTCCCACCCTCCACACTTGATTCACCTTTTGTCCAACCTGTTAGTGTCCCTACGTCCCCCACTCTGTCCTCCGTCCTTCCTTGTCCATCTTAAGATAAAGCAATGGCCTCCAAGTGGAGTGTGTGATGTGGAGATGAAAACCAATCACTCGTTTCCTCTTAGAGGTGGAGAGGGCGGAGCTTAAAGATGCTCTTTACATGGTTGAAGTTGGCTGTGACTTGACCTTTGACCTCAGTTCCTCCAACTGACATGTCCCACTGCAGGGTGGACTCTGCTGGACACCGAGTAGGGCTTTGGATCTGCAGCTTTGTGTGTGTGTGTGTCTATATCTATCGAACTAACTAACCAATAATTTCCGTTATCCAGATCAATACAAATGCAAGTGTTCAGGATTAGGCTATAGAAATCAATGCGGGATCATTAAAGTTCTATTGTATCTTAAAATGATTGGAAGTCAATGCAAAGTCTGTAAATATAGCAGAACATATTGTGTGTGTGTGTTATGGTGTTTGTGTGTGTGTGAGAAAGAGAGAGAGATGCAGCTCGTCCCTCAGCTTCCTGCTGATCATTGCGGCGACTGAACTGATGTGAAATGTGAATTCTTGTGTTCAGTTATCAGACAAGTGACTGCACTGACCTGTGTACCCCCCCCCCACACACACACACACACACACAGACAATAGCTATGTTTACATGCGCAGAATTCTTTGACGGATTGAAATGTGTTCTGTTTGAATAATTTAAATGTATTGTTTACATGGGCACAATCTGTTCAGGATGAGCGTTTACATGCAGCGGGCTTTGTTCTGAACAACAGTACTGACGTGCGCAGAGTGGTAAACTCTCCTTAAAAAAAACACCGAAGAAGAAGTTCTACTTCCGGGTAAACGTAAACAAATCTGAGCACCAAAATGGACCCGCGACAGGTTTTAATGATGTGGAGACGTTACTGCACTCCCTGACTGAGCTGCAGGTGACACAGATCATTCTGAGCTCTTTCAGAGTTTCTAGTACAAATGTTGTCGCTCACCGACCAGTTTTACTTCCCTGACATGCTAATATTATTAGCGTTAGCCAGGCGGAAATGGCAAAGTCGCACATGCGCAGTCAGGTCAGTTTTTCACCATCAGATAAAAACGAACAGATCAAGTGTTTACATGCGCACCGATCGGGTTTCGGATCGGCGTAAACCACCCGTTTCGTTCTGATCAGAAATTATAACGGATCGCGCCGAATACACAAAAAATAACCCGAACGGAGTGTTTACATGACACTTTTATTCCGACCGGCCATTTGATCCGGTTACTTATGTCCATGTAAACATACCCAATGAGGGCTCAGGACTACAGGGAGTCTGTTCCAGATCTGACTGAATCTGATGCAGTGCCGCCTCCAGACTGAAGATCTGAACCAGTTGCAGAATGAACTGGACCTTGTGGTTCTAGTCTAGGACCGCCCTGACAATCTGCTGCCCATCCTCTTTGACCTCTGACCCCTGCTGAGGACTTGACCTTTGTGCATGTCATCAATGGTCACATCACCTGGTTGGACACAAGATACCAGACCTTGTTAGGCCCGTTGTGTGTGTGTGTGTGTGTTTCAGGTCACCTTGTAGGGACCATTTTTATAAAAATCCTACATTGTGGGGACCAACTGCTCCTTATGGGGACCAAAGCCAGGTCCCCATAAGGAGCAGTCTCGCTGGGGAGTTAGGGGTTAGGTTTACTAGTATTTACCTAGTACTAGTTTACCATTACTAGTACTAGGCAGCTACTAGTAATGGTTAGGTTTGGGAAAGGGTCAGGGTTAGGCTATAGAAAATGAATAGAAGTCGATATAAAGTCCCCAAAAAGTATGTTTACAAGAACGTGCGTGTGCGTGTGTGCGTTGGCCTGTCAGCAGCCCAGTGATGTGATGCGTTTCTTCGCTCCAACGCCAGCAGGCGCCATCGTAGCAGCGCCTCCAGGAAAAAAATGACACTAAAAAAGTGTCGCAACCAGTTTAATGTCAAAGTTTTCAAATTCTTCCCCTCAGGTAAAATATTCTGTCCAGATGAACTGTTCTTCTCAGGTGATATTCTTAAAGAAACAACGTTGATCAGCTCAGTTTACCCAACTGAGACTCACTCTCAGGCAACGTGTTAGAATAATAAGGTCTAAAATAATCTGAATCTATAAATCTTAGTTGAGGTAAAGCATCTAAGTGAAAGAAAACTGACTGAACTGAGACAAGCGGCTCTGAGCTGATTACTTTCACTTTGGGTCGATACCAATTCATGAGAAGGATTGTGATTGATTTGGTGTCCATAATCACTCCACGCGTTCACATATAAACCATCGGTTGGAGGTTCAGTTTCCTGACTGGCAGCAGGTCCAACATAATCTGGTCCCAATGGTTCAGTTAGGGTTTAGAGTGTAAACAGTTTTTAAGAGGTTTAAATAGTTCTTTACAGAATGTCAACAATTCTTTCAGGGGAGTGAACTGTTCTTTCTAGGAAGCAGACAGTTCTTTTAGGGGTGTAAACTGTTCTTTCTAGGAAGCAGACAGTTCTTTTAGGGGTGTAAACTGTTCTTTCTAGGAAGCAGACAGTTCTTTTAGGGGTGTAAACAAACTTTTTAGTGTTGTAAACAGTTCTTTTCAGGATGTAAACTGTTTTTTTTGATGTAAACATTTTTTTTTTCTGGGATGTAAACAGTTCTATCAGGGGTCTAAACAGTTCTTTCCATGCAAAAAAGTTCAATCTGGTCCTCTGGACATTCAAAAAAGCAAAAAACAAAACAAAGCAAAAAAAATCTAGAAACGTTTCGTCTCTCATCCAAGAGACTTCCTCAGTCTGAGGTGCTGTTTTCAGCTCAGTCTCTTAAATAGCACCTTCTCAGAGTGGATCAACCAGTTTGCTGCTGACAACCAAAACCAGCTGATCACATGCTCAAGAAGGACCATCAGCCTAACAATGGATCATTAGCACCTGATGGCTGTTTACTGTTCACAGAGGGCTGAGTGATACTAGCAATCACAGCATTGTAAGAGGGGGACAGTTGAACCTGGAGGCTCCGCCCCTGTTTAATGATGGACGGTTTCTTTTCACAAAGATGGCCTCCTTTACTCCTCTCTCAAACCATCGTTCCTCTCTGTCCAGGATGTGAACATCTTCATCCTTGAAAGAGTGACCGCTGGCCTGGAGATGAGTGTAGACTCTGGCTTTTTCCCTAATTACCCATGTCCCAGGAGAAATTTGATAGCCGGCTCGTATCCGAGGCCAAACGGGGGAGTCAGATTCAGATAAGTCACAATTGTTGATTTTCTTCAGGCAGACTGTTTTTTTTTTTCTTGTCAGCTTTGAGTCCTGCTGGAACTTTCTGGTCCACAATGTCAAGATTTATGGGTGTTCCTCTCCACTGATCTGCATTATGAGCCTCCCCAGGATCGATCCCAACATGCTGGCGAGTCCTAGAAGCTGCAGGTGGCCTGCGATTCTCACAAATCGTCTCCATCTTATGGTTTAGCTCGTTAATCAGCTGATTTTGAGTCCTCATAGCACGCACCAAACCTTCAAACAGACTCTGAAGCTTTGCCATGGCCGAAACAGCTGCCAATGTCTTCAAGTGATAAACCAGAGCCCCGCCGATGCCAAATGCAGAACCCCTGCTTTCATAAATCCACATATATAAACGTCTTCAGCGTCCTCCCGAGACAGAACTGAGAGACACATCAGCTGATCTCTGATTTACCCCGCAGCGTGAGTCTCAGCCGGGCAAGAGGGTTCTCCAGGACCCTGTTGTTTTGTTGAAAAGATTTTGTTGATTCCGTTGAAAGTTCAGCTCCTCAGATCCATAGTAGTATTTTTCATTCGGGACATGTGTACC